CAAAAAAAAAAAAAAAAAAAAAAAAAAAAAAAAAAAAAATTAAACAGAATTGGAACCGTATTCAGCCGCAAACTGGCGCATAAGAGTCTTTGAATTCAACCTTGTTTGAGACTTATCTCTGCCTATTGCTATTAATAAACCTACTCATAGAAACAGCTTATCTTGACAATTGGTATTTTGAGTTGGTCAAGATTGTCACAAATTCCGACTTCCCTTTACTATTTTTGTGGCCACTACTCCACTGTCGTTTTGAAGATACGTCCTCTCCTCGAAGACAGGCGCAACTGTATTAAAAGTACATATCTGCGGGTTTCAAAAGCTGCTTGAGTTTCATATCCAAAAGAGCTTTCTAATACCATAAAAACATCACTTAGCTTATTTTGGAAATGGTATCCCGACGACGGATCACATCAACAGACCAAATATCTCACAAGGCTGTTCATTCTGTATAGTTTTCTCTTTAGAAAATATTGATATTGTGTCCCTTGAGTTTGGGAGCCAAACCGACAAAGCCCTGGCTGAAGCATTCAAACACATCGGACGCTTGCAGAAAGTTGCTCCGGGATAATCAATTAATGTATATTATATAACAGATAAGATAGATTAATAATACTAACAGCGTACCTGATAACATTATCAGTAGAATTATGTTGAAACGACAAATAACTTATAACATTATGAAATGGTATCAAATCGCCTCACAGTCGAACTTTTTAATCAATTAGACTTACTAAGAGATCTCTCAGTTGAATAAGCAAAATAAAAACATAAATCAATTGTGAACTACAGAATATTATTATAATCAATGGATTCAGACTCAAGTCGATTTTAATCCAGTTTTAATAATGTGTTTTAACATTGTATTTGGGCTTTAGATGGCAAAGAGCTCTGTGAATTGAGAGATGCTTGCAAATCTGTCCAAGGGCTCACAGTTTACAAACTGTGCTTGCCTATTGGAAGAATGATTTTGATGCACTGGAATTTCAAAAAGATCTTTACTATGGAATATCTCTTATTAACTGACATAATCGTAATCGAAGTCGTATTAGTATGATATATAAACTAAATGTATCCAGCGTATCGAAATAGAATGAGTATTTATGTAAACAATATGCGGTGCCGAGATGTTAACTCATACCTTATGTACGTAACTAGACTTTGATGTCATTAGTAAATTAAGTAGAAGAACTCAGTAAGTGGCTACGTTAATGGGAACTAAGGATAAAGAGAATATATTTATTCAAATGGTTTATGGTATTTACTTATAATTTTGACTGAGGAAAACTTTTTCATACGAATCAATTACATAATATGATCTTCCCATCTAAGAATAGAGTATTAGAATGGTCTGAGACTGAATATTTCTCTCATACAATAATTCTGTGGCTTGCTCGATATGAACGAATAATTTGACTTCTGTTCTCACCAAGTTTCACATCAGACTTGCTCTTCAAGGTAAAAAGTATGTAAGCTCTGAGATACTCCCCGAAGGATAGTGTAGGTCAAAACGGGGTAATTTTGAATACGTGTTTTGTACTGAACTTAATTATCAGATTTAATACACCCCTAAAGCAGGGTATATCAACCTTTGTTAATTCGTTCAATTAATCATAACTGACTCTGTTTTCTATTAATTAATCTTTTTTTTTTCATGCTACATGTTCATTTCTATACAAATTAAGATCCTATTTCCAAAAATCCATTCGTGTATTTATGGAATCAGACCGTCTTCTCGTATGGATAGCGTCTTTTTGATTTCCTACACGGAGCGGGCCGTCTAGTCTCTTTAGAATGTTCGCAACATTTCGTCAATTTTGTGAGGATGAAAGATCCACTCATCGCACCAGTCTTTGAATTTCTGCTTTTCTACTGCTGTTACTGCCAGCCACCAGATTTGATGGAAGGCTTCCTTTTTCTAGCACGCGTTGACGGTTACGGCCAACTTCCCAGCATGGTTTTCATGGGTGCGGTTTCAACTTTTGGTTGCTTTCAGCCCTCTTCCAGATTTGACGGTTGTTCTTTTTTCAATTTGGATTTTGGAAACTATACTAAAGTGCTGCGGCCTGCTCAACATTCCTTGATAAGTGACGGGCGGAACAGCCATTGCAATCTACTGCGAGTACTTATGGCAATTAATGAGAACGAGCAGACCCCTGCACCAAAATTCGAAGAAACACCAGGGAGCCTCTTCTGACATGATTAGGTGGGTAGGTGCCAGCTAGGTAGAACTGATTATTAATGGCACTCCGAATAGTCAATTTGCACCCACTGAACTAGGAGAGAACATCGCAATATCATGGTTTCTTCATCCAGAGCTCGTCAGATGCGGTCTGTGCAGGTCGAAGATGGAACCGTGGAAGACAGAAACGAGAGAGAAAACATCTAAACACATCACGTCTAAAAAAGGCAAGACACAGAGTATTATAAACAAAAGCGCACAGTGGCGATTCTGACTTGCGATGCAAGATTGTTGACAGTTCACCTTCAAGCCACCCATCAAATACAACTATTGCCGGTGACAGCACCGCGGCTCTTCAAACTACGCTCGCACTAATTTAGTAGTGCGTGGACGAGCTACAGGCAAAAGAGGCTATTACCCGAAACGATTTCGGGCACGGCACGACCGCAATCTTTGTTTTGGGGCTGGATGTTGTGTGAGTTCTTTTTATTTCGGATTTCCGAGAAGTTGGGTGGGCTTCAAAGCAGCCATTGATTCATCACCCTTGACCTACCGATTTTTGGTCTGGCTCAAATTTCGATTTGTTTGCGTGGCTTTGGGGCGGCCCTCGAGGTTGCGTGAAGAGTCTGTTGTATTGCTATTAAAACTTGGGTTCGTTCCGCATTTGGGTGGCTTTTAAGTTTTAAGAGCTTATGTCTCAGTGCGGTTTCCGATTCCGACCGTACACCCTCAAGGAGCCAGTTCCTCAGGAAACACTCGAAATCTTCTAAGTTTGAACTTCCACATTCACGAGTTTGTTTTCCATTTGCCGCCTTGAATTTGGCAGGGACCTGGCCTGCTTAATAGACTCGGATGCTTTCATGTCCGGGTGCCGGATCCGGAGGCTCCGTAGGATGTCGTCATATCGCTTGGCTTCCATGTGCAAAGGCCTGCGCACTATACACAGGACCACATATGAGATCTTGAGGCCCAGGACTGGAGACTGGAATCTTCATACTCTTGATTGCAAAATGAAATAGGTCAAAGAAGACAATCTTAGAACCACCAGCATTGTTCTTGACAGTGTGTGTGACAGTCCCGTAAAATGTGGGAGTGCGCCGTGACGTTACTCCTTCAAACATTCTTTGGTATATAAGCTTCGTCAGCAGGTATATGAATCGAGGCTCAGGCTATCTCAGTCCGAAAAATACATGCAAAACGGACCCAAAAACACCCGCACTCAAAGACACCCGCACTCAGAGGCACAGAAAAACAACAACGTCCTGCAGGCGGCACCGCCCCAGGCGCCAAGTCGCATTGCTCATAATTCTCACCTGCCGCCCATTTAACCCCAAAAGAGATGCCCACAATAAGCTTTGGCCATAGTCTGAGTGCCCCCAGACCCCCGGGACTCTTATGAAACCCACTTGAAATCCTGCACCTGCAAGTTCACATCTCCTAGTTTCAAGGCACCCATTTATAAAACAACAAGCCGGGGAGATTCTCTAGTGAGGCAGATAAAAAGCATCGCCTAAGCCCTCTCGTACTTCCATCGGCACATCGCACCAACACCCGCGGACCTGCATAGAGAGGCCGCGCGCGGCTTCCGCAGGTTTTGCATATCTTGATCCACCGGGGTTGCCACGACGCTTACACCTTATTCTGTCCCACTATCCTCTCGTGTATATTCTCTTTCTTTTCTTCGTGTCCCGCCATACCTGGCCCTGTGACTCGAACTTTTTTTATTCTTTCACACCCTTACTTTTTTGCTGCCTGCGGCCAAGACTCCTTTCTTCCGGACACCCGACCAGCCCATATCCCGCCGCTCCACTCGGATTAGCCGCCGCCCCCTATATACGAATCTCCGTGGATTCCACCAAAAAATCACCAGCTAGCCCTGGCACTTGTTCGTGTTTCCGTTTTTACAGCCACAAAACCCCAGCGTACCCCCACATCCCTGGCGGTGTCGTGCCACAAACAGCCCCCTGTTTCTGCACCCTTCGGCCGGATATATGGCCTGTTCTTGACCCCGGCTCCTGCAGAAATGGCGTACATGCTCCTTCTCTTGGCATACATGGATCTAGCGGCAGCCTTGGCCATCACGCTATGTTCGTCCACCAACCTCGGCTCGGGCCAGACGTCCGACTCATACATGTCCAACGGCTATTGCCGGGACTACTGTGCTGATGCCGGCTACTCGGTTGCAATCACACAGAACTACGACTGCTGGTGCTCCAACACCGTGCCTGCCGATGTCGTGGATGATTCCCAGTGCGACATTGGATGTCCTGGCTATAGTGAGGAAGAGGTCTGCGGAGGTGACGGCGTGTACGGCTATGTTGTGTTTGGCAGTGCGTCCACGGCGACCCGTTCGGACCAAAGCACGTCCTCCTCCAAGCCCGCTACAACCCGATCATCGAGCTCTAGCTCTAGCTCTAGCTCTAGCTCTAGCTCTAGCTCTAGCTCTAGCTCTAGCTCAAGCTCAAGCTCAAGCTCAA